CCCCAAAACCCCAAAACCCCAAAACCCCGAGATTAGAAGTTGTTAGAATAATCTGAATTTATGAAAGTTATTTATATATTGAAATGGAAAGTAGTAATAATTCCAATGATCTTTATTGGATTATTGACCATGATGAGTTATGCTGGGCTCCAGGTACTTATATATATTTAATGAATTCCAGGTAAATTCGTAAGAGATGCAGGCTCAGACATTCATGTCTAGTGCATTGATGATAACCAGTACTATTCTATTGAAAAACCTGCCATTGAAGTGCACCCGTCATGCTTAGGTATATAATTGATTTCACTGCTAACTGAACTCATTAATATTCGTAATTAATTATTATTTTAGAGGGAGTACCTGATCTACTTTAGCTTGGAGAGTTCAATGAGGGAGCTTTGCTGCACACTGTAAGACTGAGGCATAAACAGAGATAAATCTTCACATCAATTGGCACTCCTATTCTCTTGTCAGTAAACCCATTTTAAAAACTGAAGATATTCACGACTTTCATTGCCAGAAAGTATAGAAAATTTTCGAATGCTGTTCGCTCTGGAAATGAAAGTTCAGTTGAAAAGCCTGAACCTCACTTGTTTATGGTAGCAGAGGACTCCTATCAGGATATGCTTAATTACAATAAGAACCAGAGCATTATAATATCAGGAGAGAGTGGGGCAGGTAAAACGGAAGCAACCAAAATAGTCCTAAAATATTTAGCTTAAGCTAATACCAACTTTGTTTCTGAAAAGGATATCGATATGCTAGATGTTAAGTCGTATATGGCAAATGATAATAGCATAGAGAAATAAGTCCTAGATTCAAATCCACTCCTTGAAGCATTTGGTAATGCGAAGACTTTTAAGAATAACAATTCAAGTAGATTTGGTAAATTTATTAGAGTAAATTTTGAGCCGAGTGGAAAAATTCATTCAGCTACAATAATCAATTATTTGCTAGAAAAATCTCGTATTGTATTCTAGTAAGTCAATGAAAGAAATTTCCATATTTTCTACTAGATCTTGACATCTAGCTAATTCAAGGAGAAATATCAACTGAGGAATATGGAAGATTATCATTACATGAATTAATCAAACGTTTATGAGGTTATGGGCGTCGATGATGCTGAAGATTTTAAGATTACAATTCAGTGCATGAAGAACATTGGTTTCACTCAAGTTGAGATTGATAGTGTTCTAAACATAGTCGTTGCAATACTATTACTAGGAGAGATTCAATTTGAAAAAGTATCAAAAGCAGGAGTTGGGGATATATCCTAAATTAGTAAGGCATCAATGCAATACGCTGAGTAAATTTGCTAGTTGCTATAATTAGATTTACACAAATTCACAAAATGCCTAACAATGAAAAGCTAATAAATTGGCAAAGAGGTAATTGAAAGTAACCTAATTAACGATGAATCCTATAATTACAGAGATTCTATGGCCAAAACAATATATGGGAAACTTTTCAATTGGCTTGTAGGCAGAATTAATTAATCTATATCAATGAAGATGAATGCATCTCATGGGAAAACATTGAAATTTATAGGTATTTTAGATATATTTGGATTCGAAATATTTGAGTAGAATTCCTTCGAATAACTTTGCATTAATTACGCTAATGAAAAATTGCAACAGCATTTTAATCATCACATGTTTAATCTTGAATAAGAAGAATATAAAAGTGAGAATATCTAGTGGAGTTAAATTAAATTCGTTGACAATTAACTGTGCATTGATTTGATAGAAAGTTAAAGAGTTAATCTTCCAAGTATTTTTAAACTCCTAGATGAGGAGGGTATGATCAAGGGTACTGATGCAAAACTTTTGAAAAAGTTCAATGACATCCTCTCAAGCAACAAAGCATTTAAAAGACCAAATAGATTCAATTCAACCTAGTTTATAGTTTGTCACTATGCTGGAGAAGTTGAGTATGAAATAAATACTTTTATTGAGAAAAATAAAGATGCTCTTAGTGACTTAATTAATGATACTCTTGCTATTTCAAAATAAGAATTGCTTAAAGGGCTGTTCTTTAAGGAAGTAGTCCAATAATAATAAAACCAATAAAAGCAAGCATTCGGCTAAATAAAACCAGCTTAAGGCAGTGGCCTGAAAGGAAATTCTCTTTCCAACCAATTTAGAAGCTAATTAGATGAATTAATGTAAATTCTGAAGGAATCATCGCCTAGGTATATAAGATGTATAAAACCAAACAGCAATTTTTCTCCAACCATTTTTGATTCCATAGATGTTTGCAAGCAGTTAAGATGTGCTGGAATGCTTGAGGCAATCAGAATTAGAAAAGCTGGATATGCAATAAGAATAACCTAAGAAGATTTTGCAAAGAGATATAGAGCAATTCTGGGCAAGAGAAAACTAAAGCAATTACAAGAATCTACTGGTGCTTCTAATCTGAATAAAAAGATCTGTGAAGAAATATTCAAATAAGTTTAGTCCTATCAAGCTTACAAGAAAATACTAGATCCTGTTGCCAAAAGATGGCAAGTAGGAGTTACTAAAATTTTTATGAAAGAGGATGTCAGAACTGCACTTGACTCTTCTATGGGTATTGCAGTATTAGACCAGGCTAAATAAATTCAAAAACTTTATAGGGGATTTAAAGCAAGAAAGCTATTTAGAGTAATGAAAAAAGCTGATAAGCTGATCAAGTAGCATATAAGAAGTTTCTATTTAAGAAGAAAGTTTAGAAAAGTAGTGAATAAATTCATTCAGGTCATGAAGATTAAGATAATCAAAATTCAAAGGTCTATTAAGAAGATAACTCGTAAAAAGAAAATAATGATTGAGATTAATAAAAGGATATAGAAAAAGAAAGAAGAAGCTGAAAGGTAGAGAAGACTCAGAGAGGAAAGAGAGAGATAAGAAAGATTGCTCAGAGAGTAAGTTGAGAGGAAAAGAATATAAGAAGAATAATTAAAAATCGTTAACGATCAAAGCTAGTCTATTGATAGCGAGCAAAAGGTATATAACAGACCACCTGTTAGCTAAAAAGGTTCCTCGTCATAACTAAATGAATAAGTTAGATTTTAGAGAGATTTAGATAGACTTTAGAACTATTCCGATCAGGATTCTGACAAGCTAAGCTATAATACCTTAAAAGAGAGCCTTCAACTTAAAATTGAGGAAAATATCACCTAATAAAATGAAATTCAATAGCTTAAAAGAGAAGTGGAAGAAAAAGATAGAAAGATCAAAGAGCTAAATATTAGGCTTGAAATTTAGAGAAAGTAAGCAAATAACAAGACTAATAAGGAGCTAGAAAGTCTGCTTAACAACTAGGATTTATCATTTGCAACAACTATGGATGAGAAAACTATGAATTTTTCAAAAAGGAATAGTAGAGGTTCATTGAGAGGATCTTAGTTTGGAATCACTGGAGTTATACACCAGAACGATCACCATTCTAATGAGTTAATTGAGTAAAAAGATGAAGAAATAGCTAAAATCAAGAATTAACTTGACATCATTATGATGGAATTGTCATAGAAAGATGGCATAATTGAGTAACTTAAAGAAGAGAATGAAAGTTTACATGAGAAAAACAAGAAATGGATCTCTAAGCTAGATCAAGAAATCGAGAAGGGCTCAGAGAGTGTTTAGTTACTAACTAAATAAATAAAAGATCTTCAAGAAAAGAACTACAAACTTGAGTTCGAATAGAAATAGAGATAGATGGACTTGGAGAAGAGAGCTTTTAAGGATTAAACTGAGGAAATTAAGAAATTAGAGAATCTGCTTAGAGAGAAATCAGAGCAATTCGATGATCTTGAATTAGCTCATTTTACCCTTGACCAGAAGTATTAGTCAGAAGTAGCGAAGTTCTAATCCGATTATGATAATTTAAAGAGAAAATATAGAGAATTAGAACAAGTCCATCAAGACTACAAGATTGAATATGAGAGAATGGAGGAGAAGTTTATAGAAAGAGATGAATTAGTAAAAAGGTACGAGGAGGAGAACTCTTCTCTTGCTGAGACAATGAAGATTCTACAGAGTTAGCTTGATGAGTATGGAGATCATAATAGCAATATGATGGGCACACTGCATCATGAGAGATTGAATTAAAATTAGAATTCAAGTAAAATCAAAGAACTAGAGAGATTGATTGAGAAAAATGCATCCAGCGACAAATTAAAGCAAGCTGAGATTGAGAGACTTAAGGACTAACTAGATAAAATGAAGAAAAAGCTCAAGGAATCAGAAGATATGCTAGATGAGCTCGTCGATAAGAATCAAGCCCTTAAAAAGGAAAAGGTAACACTGGAAAATCAGCTTTTGTTTGGGAATGGAAATAATGCTGAGAGATAAGACTTTGAAAGGGAAAAGCTGAAGGAAAGAATTGACCAATTATATGCAAAAATTGGCAAAAAGAAGTCAAAAATCTAGAGAATGGGCAAGGAGAATGAGTTCTATCATCAAACTGTGACTATTTTCCTAACTATCAAGAAAATCATAGAGCAAGAAAAGAAGTACTGCTACATGCTTGCCACAGAGAGTGATATTCTTAAGAAGAGACAGTTGATGGAGGGGATTACATAATGTGGAGATAAAGCATAATAACTAGATGATAAACTTAAGAGAATCTTGAGACAGGTGAAATAATAGCAATAATGAAGCAAACCAGTGAATTAGCAATGAAATTTAATATAGACAATCATAAATTTGGAATAATATGTAATACCATGATAAATAGATACTCGGGGTTTTGGGGTTTTGGGGAGATCGGAAGAGCACACG